TAATTTTATTTTTTTTAAATTATTTTAATTTCTTGTTTTTTAAATTCTTAAATGTCATTCAATCCTTATCTATTTATTTTAATTTTCTTGAATAATTAACATTTTCAATAATTATTATATAATTTTTTTCTAATAATTTTTTTATTCAAAATGAAGATTCTAATTATAACCAAAATTCTACAACATATTCAGCTCATTTTTTTTCAAATTTTAACAAATATATTTTTTTGATACTATTCAAAAATTTTAAAATATTTAAAATTCCTAATAAAAAAAATCCTCAATTTATTTTTTGCAATTTTAATTTTTTTAGTAAGCTTATTTTAAATTCATTTAAAATTTAAAAATTTTGCTTTAAATATCAAATTTTAAAATTTTTATTATATAAATCCTTTAAAATTATTACCTTACTTTAATCTTCATTAATAATTAACATTGCTAAATATATATTTTTTCTAAATCTTATCGTTTTCATTCAATTTCAAGATATTCCAAATTATAATTTTATTTATAATTATATTATGGATTCATTCTATTTTAATTCAGTTCAGTTTTTTTTAATTTTTAATATTTAAATTATTCAAAACTTTTTATTTATATATTTTTTTTAATAATTATGCAAAATTTAGATTTAATTTAATTATCATCATACATATTTTTCTTTCTAATTTTTTTTTGAATTATTTTTATCCAAAATTTTCAAAATATTCAAAATTTTAATTATAATCTGAATTGTACAAAATTTTCAACAAATTTTGTTATAATTATAACGTAATTTTTTTTATAATTTTTTTTTTTTATTTCAAAAATTAACTGCTCTTATTAAATATTGAAAATCAACTACTTTTATTAAGCATTAAAAATATTAAACAAATATTTAAAACCATTTTTTCCTAAATATTTAACGTAGTTAAAACATTCAATTAATTTTAAAAGTTTCATTCTTAATTATTCAAAATCTTTTTTTTTTAATTACGATATTTACTACATTACAACTGTTAAATAATCAACATCTAGCTTAATTAACATAATGATAAATAATAACATAGATTTAAATAAATAAGAGTGCAAAGGATAGATTACATTAAAATAATATCCGTAGTATAATGATTTAATATAAAATAAAAGCAAATAATAATAAAAATAAAATTAATAAATAATATAAATAAAATTTCTGAATAATAAAACATTACTAGAAAAACAATAAAATATAACAAAATAACAAGGCTGGAACATTTCCCATAAATGTAAAATTGGGTTTATAATGAAACTCTTGTTGACATATTTGTTTCACTAATTTATTTACTTATGATTTAGTTATACATAACTTAATCTATTTTGTTTGAAATTTAACTGGTTTCGCGAGTTACACGGGTACTTTCTTATGTCCTTTCTTATTGGCGCTTAAACTTGTACTGAAAATAATACCTAATATTTTTGGGTAAATGTGTTTTATTGCCCTGTATGAAGCGAACTGCTTTGTGCTTGTGCGTTGTTGCATTTTTTGTACATTGGAGCAGCAATTCGCCCCAAAAGCTCTTAAAATTCTCTATCATTTTTTCTAAGACATCTCGTATTTTTTTTTTAGAAAACTTGAGGCAATATTGTACTTTCGAAGCCAAGCCGTCGTTTGGCCACCAATGCTTTCCATTGCTTCAAATCATATGTTTTTCCTCCGTGATGATTTTGAAATTGAAACTTTTGGCCGTCGTGTTGTGTTGACGAAGAACACATTGATGGCGTTCCCGGCAGCCGGAAGGAAGGAAGAAAATATTTAGTCTTGACCCGATGGTCGAACTGACCACTTCGTCAAAAATAATAAATAAAATATTATAATAATAATTAATTCGTTAAGTTAATAGTGGAAGTTTAATCAATCGTTTCGGTAAGATTTATCGATAAAAATATTTTTTTTTTTGTATTTTATTCTCCTTGTGAGCCTGAAATTATATTTGTTATTGGTGATTAGGCTTGCTTGTGGATAAATAAATAATATAAGTATATAAACGTATAAAATATATGAACAAATTATATAAATTACCTATTAATTATAATAAACCTGTTTAATTGTACTGTGGATACTGTGTTGTCAAGCTTTGTAACAAAAAGTTGTTAGAATTGTTGTGTTTTTAATGTGTTAATATAATATATACCCTTTCTCTGTTAATTTGAAATTTTATTTAAATAATTTTAATTAAACACTGTTGATGAGACAAATCAAAAATTAAACTAGTGGGGTGTATGGCATCGTGCGTTAAGGCAAATTGCAGGATCTTCCCGTACCAAAAATAATTTTTTTTTAAAAGATTAACATTTTTGAAAAAAAATTACTCTGAAAAAATTAGATTTTTGAGAAACTATAAACTTTTGACAAAAATTTACTTTTTTTGAAATAAAAAAGACTTTTTGAAAAAAAAATATTTTGAAATATTTTGAAAATTCTGAACTTTTTTTCAAAGCAATCGTACTGCTTTAATTGCATAGAGACGAAATATCGAAGCGCGTAAGCGCCGCGTCGCTGTCTAACGGATAAACATTGGTACGTAACGAAATTTTCGAAGAATATTAAATGTTTTCATATAGATTATTATAAATACTCTGTAACATTGTCTAATATTTATAAGCATTATATAAACTGAATTGCAAAGTTGAAATTATTTGTTTAAAGTATATTACAACTAAGTCAGAGTTAAAAATAAAATCTGAATTATTTGCGATATACAAAAAATTTTTTTTAGAAAACAAAAATAAAATTTGAAAAAAAAGTTGAAACAAATTTTTTTTCCAAAATCAATTATTTTGTTAAGACAAGCAGAAAGTTCTTTAAATCAATTAAATCGGACGCTTAGTTCTCTCAAAAACTGCTATTTTTGTGCACATTTAGCCTTGTATCTCTGAAAAGGTTGGACCTGCCTTTGCCAAAAACTAATAAACACTTCTCCCAATCATTACTAATTGAATGTTTTTTAGATAATTCAAATCGGATGCTCCGTTCTCTCAAAAACTCGATTTCTATTTTCTGCACTCTTTACTCTTTATCTCCGTAACTGCTGAACCTGCCTTTGCCAAAAACTAATCAGCACATCTCCTTATCAATAGAAATCGAATGTTTTTTGAACCATTGAAATCGGTTGATCCGTGCGACCGAAAACGTGGACGAAACATTATATCCACACATACACACACATCCATTTTTTCTAAGGTATGCCAAAATGTTCAGAAACCTCTGAAACGTGAAGATATGCAAAAATTTCCAATTTTGATTTTTGGCCGATTACTATAAATTATCCTACGGAAAGTTAATTAAATCGATTTATAACTGCTATAATTAATCCGGCCTTTAAAGTATTAAAGAAACAAATCCTTATAATTTGGGAATTAGCATTCTTATTTACAAAATAGATCATCCTTGTAAGAAATTGTTCAGACTCTGGAAAATTACAGATATCCACAAGAAAAGTTGTTTGGATTAGGTATACGAGAAGTTCTTAATGTATTATTCAAAAGTCAAAATTGGGAGTCAAATGGATAAAAATTAAGAAAAATAAAAAACAACAAAATCTAAGATTTAGAAATATCCAGCAGTAATTTTTCAATTTTTTGCTAATTGACCTACAATTTTGAGTTAAGGTTTGAGTTTAGTAGCAAAAAAGGCATTAGATCATATGTTGCACAGCCAATAGAGATATTTTTTTTGTGGACCCGTTTTATTTTTATCATTTAGCCTATTCCTTAATAAATACCTTTGTTTGTATTTTTTGCACTTTTAATACTTTTATTTGCATTTTTTAAATTCAATTTGTATTCACCAAAATATTTTTTTCATTGCTAATTATATAATTAATATTGAATTTTTTGTTAATTTTATTACTTATACTAATTTTGAATTTTTTTCATATTATAGCTTTTACTAGAATTATGGGAGTTAGGGGCTTTTGGCATCAGTTTTTTTTAAATTCATTTATCTTGAGATCCTACGAATTAAAGATGGTTAACATTTTCTAAAAAAAGTTTGGAATAATATTGATATAATATGATAGTCAATGATAATAACACAATCTGAAATTTTATGACACATCAATTTTATATTAGTGACGCACCTACACACTTCTGTTTATTGCGTCGCCATGCAGGACAGTAACTATGACATTAAGACAAAAAGTATTTTAACCTTTTCCATTTGGATGCCGCCACTCCACAGGCAAAATTCCTATAAATTTAGGAATTTGCGAGTGGAAAGGGTTAATATCGTTCAAGATACTATTGAAAAAAATGTCTGTTACTACTTACCCCTATTACATTATGCCCCCAGCTTCCCTACTAGTAGATAGTAGAAATAATCTAATTTATTAATTCTTGAAATCATATTGCAATTTTTTTTGAAATTTGTAAATTTAGTCATTTCATGTATTAACAACTATTTTTGGAATAACTTTTATTAAAAAACCTAATTACCAAGGAAAAAATTAAATAGTGAATTTTTAACACTACTACTAATATATGCTGCATAATATTATTTAGTAGTTGTAACAGATATTGAAATTAAAAAAAAATAAATAAATATTATTCAGAGATTAAAAATCATAATATTTTATATAAATACAAATATAAGCTAACATATTTTTTTTTTGTTTCAGGTTATCAAATCTTGATGATCGGTGAGCTTACAGAAACGATCAGTTTTCAATAAATTATTATTAAATATTTATATATTTTAAAACCTGTATTAGTGACGTATTAACTACTAAATAAATGTGAAATTGTTAAAAAGTTAAGTGATTTTATTAACAATTATGACTAAAATTTTTTGTGAAGTGCATATTCGACAATAAACTAGTAGATAGTAAAGTAGTTCCATAGTTATAGTACAAATAAAAGTGTTATATAAACAAATAATAAATCGTGAAGAGTGATCAATAAAATGATAAATTGAACTTGTAACTAATAATTTATTTAACGTTTTTTTTCCAAAAATGTCGGCCGATTCCAAAAAATTAAACATGGAAATCTCCACCGGAGAGATTTCCCCTTGCCTTCCAGACGAATCAAATGCTTCAACCGGTGAAAATGCTAAAAAGAAACCTATTTTTGATAAGTATTTAACACGTCTATCTTACACAAAACGTGGAAAATTAGCATTATTGATTTTAGCAGTTTTGTGTTTAGTGTTATTTATTGTTGTAGCCGCTTTGGCGGGAGCCTGGCCCAGGTGGCCTAGGTTCATCGGAAATACCTGCGACAAACCATCCTGCCTGATCGCCAGTGCCCAGGTTTGTAGAATTTATAAAAATTAATCTTCATTATAAAAAACCAAAACAAATTGTGACGTAGTGGTAAAGTCTGCATCATCAAGATTCTCCAATCTCATTAAATTTAAGTCAAAATACAAATATTAAATATTTAAAAAATATGATAATTGGCAAAGAAAACCATTGTAGAAAGTATCTGTAGAAAAACATAAATAAACTAACTATAGTATATCAGGTTGGCAACCAAGTTAGTGCGGATTTTGCTTTTTGATCACTTCAGGGACCGATTCTGCCACACAACAGATCAATGTTATGGCAAGGCTATGCTATAAAGAATTTTCCATACAAATTCGTCCTAAATATTGTCAAAAGCCATGTGGTTGCTGTGCAGTCTGGCGTATTTCTCAGGTTATCAGATAGAGAACCTAACCTAAAAACCGCACAAATGTGAAACAAACGATCTTAGATAAAAGGGTCTTTCTGACTCAGCTTCATAACTCAGCAGTTTATGTGTAAAACTCCCGAATGCATAGCAAATACATGACATTTTGACAGTATTCAGTATGATGTAGTAGTATAATGTATAAGAAGTTGGAGCGTAACATGGCCTTGCCATAACATTTTTCTGTTATACGGTAGAATCGGTTCCGTAACGTAGTCCAAATGTAAAATATCTCTTTTTATTGCATACTAGCCATTCAGCTGACTATAAGTAAAAAATAAAGTTGATCGATTTTGTAGTTTTCGTTTAGCGTTTATTAAAAGATGGAAAATCAAATCGTAATTTTTTTTGTCATGTTTTGCTTTTTCTATTTATGCAAAGTTTAAAAGGCATCTTAAACTCACAAAAAGTATGCGCTGTTTATGGTGACTAAGTCTTAAAAAATCGGCAGTGTCAAAATTGGTTTATCAAATTTCGTTCTACTGATTTTTCAATCAAAGCTGAAAAACGTTCTGATCGTCGAGTTGAAGTTGATTACAAAGGAATTCCTACTTCTACTCTTACCACATTGAACAATTAACAAAATTAAAAAATGCAATTAAAAAAAGCGGCCTAAATTGACAAATCTAAAGGGTGGTTTAATCCATTATTGACATCACGTATCTTTGGTCACTCAAAAAAAAAAAAAAAATTGGAGCTTTGGTTGAGATGCTTTACCAAATCTACCATATAGTCCTGACCTTGCATCATATGATTACTTTTTGTTTTGATCATTACAAAACTTCTTAAATTCAAACAAATTTAATAATGAAAATGGTGTCAAATTGTACCTGATTCAGTGTTTTGCTAATAAAAACCAGAAATTTTCTGAAAGTGGTATAATGATGCTGCTTGAAAGATGACAAAAAGTTATTGATCATAATGGATAATGCATTACAGTATAAAGTTATTTAATTCCACAAAAAATATCTTTGATTGAACAAAAATTCGAAATTACTTAGTTGCCAACCTAATTTCATTACTATTTGTGCTGAAAGAGAAGTTTCCTAGATTTTGGTTTTTTATGCAATTTTACTGTTTTTTACTTCATTCTTACCCAGTTTACTGCGTTTTATTACTAATATTATTCTAATTAGTTTGGATAACAAAGTAATTTTACTTAATTGATGGATATGTATGTTTTCTTCAGAAAATCCTATTGGCGAATTTGATGTTTTCTCAACGTTTCAAGTCATTTTGAATCAAATGAGACCAAATTTGGCAAAAGTATGTGTGTATGTATTTTTGACTTTTTTCGTTGTTTTTTCATAACCATTGCACTAATTTAAAAAAATTTAAAGTCACTTGATGAAACTAGATAAACATTTGTATTGATTATTTTTTCGAAATAATTGTTCCAGCTGTTTTCTTAAGATCAGCAGAAAAGTGTAAAATTTTGTGTTTAGTTCCATAATCCTGAATCGATTTTAATAATCCACAAACTATTCGAAAGATATCATTTGGTTGGTCAATCGCGTTGATTAGGTTTGGCAAGTCAGTCGGGCCATTTCTTCGCAATTGATTGTTAAAAGATTTTTTTTTATTTTGACGGTTTTATTGAAACCTGGTATGACAATAGAGTTCCTTGTCTTAATAAAATAACATGTAAAATATTAGAGGCTTAGGGCAAGTGGTTTAATAGTGAAAAGTGATTAAGACCATTATTTACACATGTCGGGAAGTTCATGCAACTAGACTTAAGGCAAAATGCCACTTACACCTAGTTAACTTCCCGTAGGGTGAGTTATAGTAATCGCAAAAAATCGAATATGGTAATTTCCATATACCTTTACATTTCAAAGGTTTCTGAACATTTTGGCATACCTTAGAAAAAATGAATGTATGTGTATGTGTATGTGCGTGTGTGCAAATACAAATTTTTGTCGACGATTTTGCGAACACGGATTAACCGATTTGAATAATTCAAAAGACATTCGATTTCTACTGATAAGGAGACGTTTTGGAGATGCGGGGGAAAAAGTGCCAAAAATGCTTAAAATAATGTTTAAAATTTTCAAAAAAATAAAAATACAAAACAAATCAAAATATGAAAAAATCAAACTTTTCCAAAAAGGCAAATTTTTCAAAAAATTTCAAAATTTCTCAAAAATCTAATTTTTTCTAAGATTTGCAAGGTTTTCTTTAATAATTTAGTTTTTGGTACGGGTTTGATTCCAGCAATTTGTCTTAAGGGCACGATGCCATGCACCACTAGTTTGGTTTATATTTAAAACTATCAAAATACATTCTTATAAAAATGCCGATGGTAATGTTGAGACAGATATTATAAATACTGGCATTGAACTTTTTTTGTACCTTTTATTAATCCAATATGTAAAAAAACGTTCCTGTCATCGTTAATATAGGTATACATGACTAGACGTTCCATGTTTAATTGATATTTAAAAGTGTCAAAACACATGTTCGATTTAATTATCTGTTAATTGACTTTTTATAAACTCGATGACGGTTGATGGTGATTCCTAGATCCAAAGATCTCTTCGGGCGTTCTTCCATCTGAACTTCAGTAAACACTCTCAGTGAAATGGCGATGTTTATGAAAGGCTTTTATGAGTGGTTCGTCGTTATTCAAAGTGATGATGTATTTACATTAAACTGGAAATAAATGTTAATGCAAATGGCTTACGGAGCATTGAAACCGAAGTGCACGTTACAGTGGGCCGTAATTGAGTAAGAAATAGAAAGTCAAAACGTTCTTTATTGTTTTAGACCATAGGTTTCCAAATTGGTTTCGTGGATCCCTTGGGATTTGCTACAGACCTCCTAATTACCAGATATCATTTTTTTGTATAAATTTCTATCTTCACTAACGTTCATTATTTTAAAGTGAAAGTGCATGTGACTTGTATACATTTATTAATTAAATTTAAAACTTGTGGTACATGGCATCGTGCCTTAAAATTTTTAAAAGCTCAGAAAAGAAAAACTAGATTTTTTGAGGATTTTGTATTTTTTAGAACATTTTTAAAAACTTTGAAAACATTTGAAAAAATTGCTTTTTTGGAAAATATTGATATTTTCAGAAATTTTTTGAAAACTTGGAATTTTTTTGAAAACTAAAGTTTTTTTTTTCATAATTCTGAAAACTTTTCATAATTTCGAAATTTTGAAAAGAAACCTTGAAAGTTACCTATTTATATCAATTGATTAAAATTACGAAACATCTGACGAAAAAATGGCCTGGACAAAACGGCTGGACCAACTTTTATAAAAAATGTTACTTACTTCAGTCATAGACAACTGGGAGTCGATTTGGAGCACTTTGAGAATCACTGGCCTTACCAATATCCTAAGATATTCTAGGCCTATAAAAATAGTTTATGAAAATGTATTAAAAAAATATTGGAATAATGAGCACAACTGATTAGGTCGATTATTTAGACATTTCAGGAAGTTTATATTTATATTTATTTATATTTATATTTATATTATGGATACAATATCTCGAAGAAAAAATGTTATAGTATTGAGATAGTTTATTAAAGGCTTGTAGATCTTGAGATTCTGATGATGCTAAAAAAAAAATCTTTTAAATATCCGTTATGCAATTTTTATTTGAGTCCCATATCTGGAAAATAATTAAGTTAAAATAATTTGAAATAAAAATTAGAAAAAGTATGGAAGAAGGAAAAAATAATTGTAACTGTTGGAAGAAAAGTATTAAATGTTATCAGTAGGCATTTCATTATCAAAATAATGTTTGATATCGAAATTAGCAAACTCAGAAGTATCGTAGAAACTTTGGGCTTTTAAAAGTTTAACAATGGTATTATTCAATTTGATTCAGGCAATTTAACTTAAGATAAAATGCCACTTACACCTGGTTTTCAATTATTTTTGCGTGGACCTCCTTGAAAGTTGTCATGGTCCTCTGGAGGTCCTTGTTGACAACTTTGGGAATCACTGTTCTAGTCCATGACATTCTCTAGAAAATTTGAATGTGTTTGTTCATATGTCTTTCAGAATATGTGCAAAAAAATCTTTCAACCAATTTAGATGGTTAATAAAAAATTATATTGTCATTTTTACAAGAACTTTTTGTAAAAAAGCAAGACATGACGAAAACGTTATCTTCATTTAAAAGCACCAACCAAAAACAATTAACGCTTTTAAAATAAAAAGAACTTTACTATGAAGAAAACTAAATATCGTTTTAAGAGACAAAAATTGGCACACATTAATTTCAAAAAATGATTAGATTTTAATTTATTATTACATGTTCTATGCTATCATTTTATATTTTTTATATCATTTTTATACATATTTTATACCATCTTTTATATATATATATCCTATTTTATCAAATATTCTTTCTTTGCTATTTACAATTGATTTCTTCGTTCTGCTTTTCTTCTAAGTCTGATCTACTCTAATTTTAACACTGTTTTTTTTAAATCCTAATTTTAAAATTTTGCTTTACTTCTATTGCAAAGCAATTTCAAACTCTATTTAATTTTATCTCAACATTTCAAATTTTATTTCATGTATCGACCCGGTGAGCGCTGGCGTCCGGGTCGATACCTGGCGCTGGCTGAGCTATTCCCAGAAAATTAGAAAGCCACATTGGTTTTCTAACCGACCATAAATATCAAAGTTTTGTGCATGTTATGATAAAAACCTGTTGTTCATACTAAATATGTATATATACGTTTACACATACAAATACAAAATAATACTCCTTTGATTTTTTTAATAATTTGCATAATAAAAATATTTTATAATTATGTTACTTATATTTTGAATTGCTATAATATACTGATTCGACACAAAATTTACAAACTATTCTTCAAAACGTCAATAAAAACAACATAAAATCTACTAAAACACTAAATTTCTCTCGCAAAACGTTTTTTTATCTCACATATAAATTCAAGATGAATAAAAAAAAAACCAATAGATAATTAAGTAATGCAATAAAGTTTAAAATACTATTCAGATCACTGATCACTTAATGCAATAAAAAAACAATCAATTAAATGTTGTGAAGTCCATAAGACACGTGTTTGCACATTGGCTCTCAGTTTTATAGTCTTTATATTAGTGCCAATAAACTGGAAATACTTAAATGAAACGCTTATTTGATTAATTAGTAAAAATAGTTTTATGAATGAATATTTTGACTGTGTACTATTTTTTTCAGATGTTGCAATCGGCCGAGTTGTCATCAGGAGTTTGCCAGGATCCTTGGATTTGGGCATGTGGTGGTTGGCAGGATAATAACATCGCTAAAACGATATGGAGTTATAAAGATGAACTTGATTATAAAGGTAACACTTTAATTAGTTTTTATTATATTTTCTTCATTATATGATAAATCTGATCTGACTTCCTGTAAATTGGAAATTATTTTTTTGCAAATATATGGTCCCAGAGAATCTGAAAATTTTGGAAAAACATATCCATGTTTACTCTCCTAAAAATTAAAAGCCACCATGACAAATTTTATTACCATTAATCACTTTTTTATTCACTTTTATTTATTTTCCTGCCCACACTGTTGCTTTAATGCTTTCTGGTTCTGTGTTTCGGCTTTCATTTCCCTGTATTTTTGCTCTCGCGTAAGTCATCAATCATCTTCATTCTTCTTCTGCCCAATCCTTCTAGTCTTTTAATTTTACCTTTGACGACGTCGTGCAGGAGGCACCCTTTTTGCTGAATGGGTCTCCAGTTTCCTTTTCTTTTTAGGATCGTGCTCAGTAGTCTTTTCTTCGTCCACTCTTCTTGGCAATTTATCATTATCTTGTCTACTTTATCTTTTCAGTTCGCTTCCAGCACCACATTTTAAAATTCTCCTATTATTTGTAATAAAAATTGTATATTTAGGCATATTTTGGATTATTAACCATAGTTTACTATGTTTAGTTTTAATTACTAACTTTTTCACATGACCATGGTCAGGATTTGACCAGGTCTTTTTCCATTTAACCCAGGACTCTTCGGGGTAGGGGGTGTAAATATATGCATATACATAAATACTTGTATTAATGGTTATGCGTATAGAGACTAGCAGAAGTAACAAAAGAAGAAGGTTGTAGTGTGAAAATCAATATATATTCTAAACTAAATTGTTATTTTATTCACTTTTCTTATGTTGACGGGATATTTAATCATAGTAATTCTTTCCATGCCATATGCTTTTTAAGGGTTTTCAGCACGTTACCATTTCGTCCACATCCGACGGTTTAATTAATTAATCTCATATATTGTACAAATTGTTTTCTTGCAGAACTATTTTCAATACTTATTGTCCAAAAGATGATACAAAATTTAAATTGAAACTATATTAATGTTTTCCCCAGAAACGGTTCGTGTGAGAGCCCTCATCGGCTCCTTGCCAGCAGGTCTTCCAGGGAGTTCCGAATGGATTTTGACCGAACTCTACAACTCCTGCGCCGCCACTGACAACATCGAAGCCGAATTGGATTTACCGCTTAAAAAAATTATTCGAGATCTCGGTAAGTGATATTTTTTTATTGATTTTACTGCTACTGACAAATGCTGCTAGAAGTAAGGAAAAACGAAGATAAAAAAAATAAAAAAAAATTGAATATGTAGCAACAAAATCCAAAGGTAAATAGAAAATGAACTATTTTCTTGGATGGTTTACGTTTATAAAGTTTAAATTATCTTTTCATTTTATTAATAATAGAATATTATCTAAATTATATCGCCTGAACGAATGCAACAGAATTACTTTCTCGTAACGTTTGTTGTTGTAATAGATCGCAAACACTGCCGCTTTGCCATTACTTCAATTTTAATTGTTTACGCACTCCATAGGGGCGCCACCACCTGTAGTACGTAAATTAACCCATAGGTTTGATTCTAGATAAGATGTAGTGGCGGTGGTTCCCAACTTTTTGTAACATTAACATTAAAACATTACAGTACTTGTACGATTACATTCACACCCATGAGAGAATGCGTCTCACAGGTTGGAAACCACTGGTTTAAGACATAATATCATAGTTAGGAAGTCGAAAATTTAACTTTTTTTTGAAAAGCATTACTGTGGAATTACGATTACATTTACTTTCCTGAAGAAACGCGTGCCACAGGTTGAAAACCACTGGGTTAAGGTATAATACTGTAGTCAGGAAGTCGGAAATCTATTTTTTTGGGAAAACATTACTGTGCTTGTACGATCACATTCACTCCCATGAAAGAACGCGCTCCACAGGTTGGAAATCACTGGGTTAAGGCATAATACATACTATACTAAGCAAGCCAAAAATTGAATTTTGTTTTTGAGTTAAGTCATAATGTCAATAAGTCGAAAATACTTTTTTTTTTGGGAAACCATTACTGTGCTTGTATAATCGTACAATTTTATTACCCAGAGGAAACTCGCCAAATAGGTTGGCAACCACTGCATTAAGGTCATAATCAACAAGACGATTTTTTTTTCCTGGATAAACATAACTGCGCTCTTACGAAGAAACTTAGAACTGATTGTAAACGTAACTACATTTTAAAACATAGATGGCTCGCGTAAAAAGTTTTTTTTACGATCATTCATGTTTTCTTCGTAAGAGCACAGCACTGTTTTTCATTAAATTTTGTTAAATTT